GAAAACAGAAAACTCACGGTCGGCAAGCTGCAGCCAATCATTGAAAACAGGTGCTGGTTCCCTTTCGGCTTCCGAGACTTGAGTCTTTCGGTACTGGCACGACTAGAATAGTGGAGGCGTCGCCGCGTTACTAGGAGGCGGAATTGGAAAGTGGAAATAGTTTTGATTTGGGGGTGGAATTGGAAAATGGAAATTGGTTTTGATTTTTGAAAATGGGATTGGACCTGGTCAATCTTAAAGATAAGGCCCAACTAAAATGAATTTTAATTTTAGCCCAACTAAAAGGCCCAATTACAAAACAAAAAAAGAAAGAAGAGAAAAAACCCTCGCCAATCGCCTTCGTCTCCTGCGCCAGTCTCCTTCTTCCTCACTTCAGATCACTGTTTCGACAGAGCCTAGCATGCTCGGCAGCGCCCTCTTACCAGGTGTTGGGTCTGCCGTTGAAAGTAGGGGAACTGCCACATTCTCCTATACATTTGTAGATGTGTATGATTCATAAAATTACTATATGATGTAGGTTCAGACTGTATTATATATTCACCATAAATTGGTTTGAGTTGAAAGATGTAAAGTTACTTGCATAAGAACTAAAAGTTTCACTTAAAAGTAAAAATGGGCTTGTCACTAAATTTTTATTTATAAAGTAGAAAATAACTTTTAAGCAAAGTAGTAGTAGTAGCAGCAGTAATAATAATAATAATAATAATAATAATAATAATAATAATATACTTATTATTAATATGTATAAATTAAAAAAAAAATTACTTATAACTAAAATATTCATTTATATAAGTAATAAAATCACTTGAGTCAATTATGTATATGCAAGAAATATTATTTATAAATAATAAATACTATAACAAATTATTTACTTTTCAACACCTGTACACTATCTTTTTACAGTATGACTTCAAATTTTAAAAAATATTTATAACTAAAATGTCCATTTATGAGTAATAAAATCACTTGAGTGACTTGTGTAGATGTAAGAAATATTATTTATAAATAATAAATACTATAACAAACTATTTACTTTTCAACACGCGTACAATATCTTTTTACACTGTGACATCAAATGTCATATTAGAACAATTTATCATAATCTAATCCCCTCCAATTCCTAGTCGCTAATCCTATAAGGTATACAAAACGTGCCATTATAACATTTTCTTGGCAAAATCATTTTAGGAGGCTACTTTAGTTTTAACCAACGTTCTGCTCGATGCATTTTCAAAACGCTCCGCACATGGGGTATGCACACGATAATACGATCAACTCATCATTGACCGTATATGCACGCTTAAACGTCAAAATGTGCATATATTTATGTTAAAAATTGTGTCAAAATTAACCTAACAAAACTTAGTCCAGTCCATTTTTATAACTTAAAAAAAAAAAAGCAAATTGAGCCCTAAAAACATCAAGTTAGGTCAAATCACCCCAAGCCTGTTAATTGTATACAACAATTAGTAGGGTTTTGATGTTTAAAAAAATAAAAATAAATAAATAAATAAATTCTTAGAGTTGCAAAATATCTACATCATGCCCAAGCATTCTTCTTCTTTGGTCTTCCCTTAGTTTTACTAACATATGATGCTAGTAATGCACAATTTTAAATTGCCCAAGCATTCTTCTTCTTTGGTCTTCCGTTAGTTTTACTAACAAATGATGCTAGTAATGCACAATTTTAAATTGTTGATGGTAGTAATGATGAGGAGGAGGTTCACAATGATATATTATCAGCCACAAGAGGTAATAGAAATTCTCGTATTAAAATAAGGAATCCCGATGAAGAGGATTTTGTATTGGATGACACGGAATATAACTTGGATGAAGAAGATAAGATTGAATTGGAATATGATAAAAGACTTAGGCAAGATTCAAGATTTTTTTAAAGCTGATAATCGTGTCTAATATAATTGTAGGAATTGATTATAACAAATAATTTTAGCTTTATGATTTTATACTAGTAATGCTTGGTTTTAACTTACATAAGGTAGTGACAAATTAAAATTAGAAGTCTACAGTCTCAAATCATTATTAATCATTTTTGAAATTTTTTTAAGTTAAAAAAGGGAAATATGCGTGAAAGGTTACACTCCCACATTTTTTCAATTTTTTCATTTGAATAATCAAATCACAAAGTTATTCTTTCAAAAATCAGGTTTATCGCACCTTATCCTCCTAACCCTAACCCTAACGCTAACCTTAATTCATTTTCTACCCAAACAAAAGGTTACATAAACTTCAACTTCATACCACTTTTCTTCAGCGTGATCACCTTCCTCACAGGAAATCGAGTGGGTGATCAGCGATGAGAAATATAGTGGAAGGTAAACATTGTGTGTGAATTGCTAATCGAGGAACATGAGCGTGGATGATGGAAGTTGCAATGAGGGAGAGGATGTTGGTGAACAATGTTGGTGGTAGTTGTTAAAAAGGTATGAGGAGGCGGTGGTTCAAGAGTTGTAGATGAAGAAGTATAGAGATGATCTGTGACGGCATGTGGTAGCTTATGAGGGTG